CATATTGACCTAATCCTGAAAGGTAATATATGAATCCAAAAGAAATAGCCTAGTATATGTTTATACTTCTAAGTTATTAAATTTCTATGCCACTACTATACCATATTTTAGCTATATTAAAAAGTTCTTGGAATTAAAAGAAAGTGACTTATGGCTTAAAAAATATACAAAATTAACATTTGAAAAGTAATTTTGGAGATGATTATAGTTCACATTCTACACTGAATGCATTTTGATATATGGATAATTACTCATAGTAGTATCTTTTAGTTGAATTTTTGTAAAAACGATAACAATTTATTGCCAAATTAGTTCTTTGGCACAATTTAACATTTAGTGATGAAATCAAAGTGAATTGATTTTTACTACAGACCACTTTTGCTCTGGTTCCCTATATTCAAGTACTAATTGGTTATTATAGGTCACTTTAGGACTTAGTTTAAAAATAAATTAAATTGGTTGCAAGGTGCATTTAGAAGAAATAGCTTGATATTTTCAGCTCATGGGGTTTTATTTAAATAAAAAGTGGTGAAGCAATGCAATCATCTTTGGTTATAAAAGTGATGGATGAATTGAAAACATTTTTGAATCAGGTCAATGGTACTGGTGATTAGTACATTGTTAATCAAGTTCCTCAGATTGCTATCAAATGCTTTAGCTTTTTTCTCAGGCTGGTGAGAGGATCATGAATATTAAACAGATTCAAATGGATGTGCTCTCATGTAATATGGAGTATCACAAATGAAAAGACTAAATGAGGGCAGAGTGTGACTCTATATACTGATATGACTCTTAAATTGAGAAATGCCTAATCAATTTCTTTGCTCACATATAGCAGCCAAATAGAGGTAATCCCTTCAGTTCCTCTTCTTTCTCCTTTTTCCCTTTCTGCTTTCTGTTCCTCTTTCTTCTTCTTTCTCTTCTCCTGTTTCTTTTTCTTTTTAAATTTCTAGTAAGGAGTATTTAAATCACAGTGACAAATCAAAGAACATGTTGCATGAAGAACATTTAAGGGCAACTGAATGTACAGGTGAAGAGGTGTGGCTGATAATGGCGAGGATGTAACAGATGGTACTGATTAAAGATTAGGGTAATCATTACACGGTGTTTTACAATGGAAGAATGGATACTAGGCTGAGAAGTTTCTTTTTCTACGAAAAATGTGGTGCTATAATACTTTACCACTTTATTTAGTGACAATAGTCTTATGCTTTTAAAAATGTGTACTATTACATATATGATAGTCTGTGTTAGAAAAATGTTATTTGAACATATTACCAAGCACAAATTTGGTTTTGAAACAGAAATAGAATATTTAATTTATGGTTTCTATCACTCTTCAAAAGTGAGAATTTTTTTCTCTCAACATGTATATGGATATATATCCACATAGCTTGTAATAAATCATAAAGTATTTAGAAATGAAACATTACATATTTACATATAAAATAAAAGTAAAATGACACATGCAGAAATGGCTAAATTAATATATTCTAATAAAGAAATGTATGATATATCTAGTATTTAAATTAACAGCTTATTGTTGAATTTGAATATGAACAAATACATTTATCTCATATGAAAATTCTATTTGGAAACAGTGATACAATATCTTCAGTACCTACTAATCCAGCACAAATTAGTTTCTTTATATTAGCTGATCATCTAATTAGAGAAATTTTGAATTTATGGTGAAGTGAGATTTTAAAAGACAGAATTCAAGGAGAAAAATGTCTCCGTAGGTACCAGAAGTTGACAGTGATAAGCTTCTCAGAAAGGGCTAAACCTTGTGAAGTAGCTGGGTGTACCTGAGGAGTCTGGGGGAAGCAGAGATCATAGGTACCTGAGGTTTGCAGTTGAAAATGAAAGGAATAAAATATAGAAGTATAGAGTACTTTTAACAAGGCATGCATTTCAAATTTTCTTGTATTCAGAATATTTTCTTGTGAATAAAAGTCAGCTGTTAATTCATTTATATTCATATTCTTAGGGTCGTGAAAAGCCACAAGATATGCCAATTTTAAGAATGTACATGTTCAGGTTTTCATTAGAAGCCCAAAGAGTGAGAAAAAGGTAGAAGTTTTCAAGTACAGTTAGCATCATAGGATGGCAAAGCTGCCGAGCCGCAGCAGAATCTAGGAAAGTGTTTCACCAAAAAGTCATTAGGTTTTTCTTTTCAGATAAGAACAGTAAGACCCTGTAAATTAAGCATCCCGTTCAAGTTAATAAATGGTAGGATCAGGATTAGAATTAAATTATTCTAATTTGTAACACAATCTAAGTCTTTTCTTCAATATTTGACCACCATACATTTAGGACAAAACTATAAGTTGAAAATGTCAGTACAAGCTATTAAATATGCTTTGAAGAAAAGGAGATTTCGTGATTAAAATATAATAGGCTAATTTTATAAGAATGGAAGTTTCATAGTTAGAAAATAAATAGAAGTGAGGCAAATGAGAATAAAGAAGAGGCTTCAGGGAATGTATAAAGGACACAGTATGCCTGGCATTTCTGAGCAAATGAACAGAGGTCGGACTATGGCAGGCAAGTCTTAAAACTCATGTGACATCAGGGTGGAGAATTTGTCATGGGTCAGCACATGAAGTTTATGAAAAAGATTTGAAATTTTGCCCCAAAGTCTTTTGAAAATTACTGAAATTGCTTAAGTCAGGTTTCTTAAAAGGTACATTCAAACTCCCACTCCCTGAAAATTTTTAAATTGTAGAAAGATTGGCAGATCATGACAGTAAAGATATTGAGATCATTCAGCCATGCTTCTCAGTCTGCCAAGTAAGAAATGCTTGTGGGTAGACTAAGTGTTCGCCAGAGTAAGTTTATGGAAATGAATTAAATTGAAATATAGTGTGTATCAAAGATTGAAGCGCCGTAACATGCAATTAGTTGCGATAGTGGGGAATTATTGGAAAGGGAAATGAAGAATAAGAAACCAGTTAGTCCAGGGTTTATGGCATTAAATAATATCCTTGTTTGGGAAAGCTTAATTTATTGAAAATTTAAAGGTAAGAAAAATAACAAATTTAAGAAGAAAATTAAAATTTATTCAAATTGTAGATATATTATCTTAGAAATACAGTGAACTATTGCATAGAGAGACTACATAGATAGTTTAAAAGAGAAGTTCATAGAAGATGATCTGGCTGGGGACACAATTTGGACATGCTTTCAGATTTTAGGAAGACTATGATGGCCCTGAGAATGAGTTTAGAGGGAGCACTTAAGATGTCCCAGGGTAGAATTCAAGACTTCCAGGATATAGAGGCTAGAGAGAGAGTTACGAATTTCTGAATGAGACTAAAGAGCAGCCAGGAAGAAAACCATGTGAATTTTGTATCTCAGAAGCAAAGAAAGAGATGTTAGATACAAAGAGATCTTCACGTTTGTTGAATATGGTTAAGAATTTATCGTGTGAGTTGAATTGTGCCCTTCAAATAGTTCCATTTAAATCACACTCTCCCTTTACCTCTGAATATGACTTTATTTGGAAATAAGATGTCTGTAGATATAATCAAGTTAAGATTATAACTACTTTTTAAATTGGAAATGAGGTAAAAGATATAAATTCGTTAGCCTTGTGGTGTTGATTTATAGTTCCCTAATAACTTTTATTTCCTTGATGACAAATGTAATAGCCTCTGTAAAGTATGAGGAGATGAAGAAAACTAGACATAAAAAATTAAGGTATGAAATTGTAGATGTGAACAGAGGTAAATAAACTTGTAACGTTGCCAAGCTGTGAATTAAACAGGTTAAACAGCTGAGGTTTACAACCAAACGTTAAGAGAAAATACCCCATATATAATGCATATTGAATAAAAATTATAAATATAACCCAAAGTAGACAGTTATAGATTCTTGATTTTATTGGTTTCATGAACCAGTTGACATGTGATAAGGGAAGGCAAAGAAACAAGATCACTGATATTCCTAGAAATATTTGAAAAATTTTAAAAAATACAATTGAAAGTGACTATAAACCCTTGATTGCGAAGCATACTACATCCTCAATGTTGGATTTCCCAACAATAATTTATTTTGAAAGCTATAATTCACTTTTGACATTATCACTTCATGTCTCAGATGCTTTCAGCTGTAATGATTGGCTCTGAGCTACAATGGTAGATTTCCTGAGAACATCACTTCTTAATAACAGCAGTCAGAAAAGCGCAAAGTAACATGTAAAGAATAATAGAGTTTAGTTCAAAGCATCCAATGACATGACTCAAAATAAAATCTTTCATTAAAAACATGGTAATCCTAGAATTACAAGTGAATAAGGGAAGAAAAAGAGTTTATGTGAGATTTTACTATTTTAAATGGTTTAAAGTATCATGTGATTTAGGTAACCCTGTTTAAAAAAAGAAAAGACAAGAAAATGAAAGTGAGATCTGAATGTTCAGTTTTAGGCTTTTAAAAATACTTAGTAAGATTTTGAGGCTGTTTTAACTGGTCCACTATGTAAGTCTGGAATTTTAAACGGTGCTTTATTTAATGTGGAAGCTCACAAAAATAGAATTTAGATGTTATTAATATATCCAACTCACAGTATGATCCTCAGGCAGTATTAAAGATTATATAGGAATAAAGAGATTCAGATTTCATTTTTCCTATTCTTAAAATGATTATTCCAGTATAGAATTTTTACTATGAAAGGCCTCCAAGATTGCCTGCGTATTACTACAGGTGATAGAGAACAGAGCTTGAATGCTGAGCAGGAGATAAAGTCCCACTTATCCCCCATTTTTAGTGATAGCTGGTTGCGTTTGGAATATATAGAATTAGCATATGCTAATATGCTTGGAATATATAGAATTAGCATATGCCAGAAGGACTTCTGTGGAAGAAGTTTTAAAGCAATTCTGCAGAACAAAAGGCTCATTACTTTGCCTAATTAAAATGGGGGAAGCAAACAGTGAAGCTAAAATAGCAGGGTGGTGTCACATGGCAATTCCTTATGAAGGTCTTTTTTTTTCCCCCAGGTTTCTGGATAATAACTGTTTTCTACTGTGTCCAGCTTCTGTGTTTCTACTAAGCTGAGACACACTTGGAATCGAACGTGTCTTTCAAGTATTTACCAGGTTGTATTAGATCAATTTCTCCTTAAGATTTAGAGACAAAAGAAACCAACTCCTGTGGTAAAAATAATTGAATATTCTATGTGGGATTAAGAACTGTTGCAGGGGGAAATTTGTGGAATGTTGTTAGCAGCATTTTTTCTTTTCCTACGGACCAGGAGGTTAACAAATAAGAAAGTAGAGGATATGAGTTGGATGCAACAAGAATGGGGAGAAGGAAGAATAGAGAGTGGGAGAGGTAGAGAACACTGGATTAGAGAAATAATAGAAAGTGAAAGAAAACAGAGAAGTCAGGAAAGACTGATGCATGCTGGGCTGTTGACCTCTTATCTAAAACCTCTTTTTGATATGACAGTCATAAAACGTATTACCGTCCTAAATCAAGAAAGAAGAGTTTATTAAAAGTTAAATTTGTATAATTTAACATTTTATTTTTCTTGATAACATAAACACCTAATATACACATTAAATTTCTCATCTTCATTAGCCAGGAATATCTGGAGTTTTTTTTTTTTTTTCTTGTTAAAAACAATGCACATTTGCTTTCATATATACCATTTAATAGATGTACAAAGAAACTCTCAGTTGATTAATGACATTAATCATCAATTAGGGAACAAAATCTGCTTGGATAATTTAAAGCCTTTCCTAATGAATCTTTGCACATTTTTAAAAATGGAAGGTTGTATGACCTTCATTAAGAAATGTATGTAGACCGCAGAGGAGTCAACAGAGGGAGCCCTGCATGAACATTTCATTGAAGAGATTAGGAGCCCAGTCTGACTTCACTGCTTTATTCTCATTTGTGAATGTTTTTTTGCTAGAGTTTAGTTTAGGCAGCTTTATGATTTGAATATATGAAAATATGTGTAAAAGAAATGACATTTTAAAGTTACTTTAAGAAATGTTTTCTTTCTCTCTGATCCATATATTCTTTTTAGATGAAATTTCTTTAGTATGACTATCTTCAAAATATTTTATAGTGGAAAATTTGTAAAGCATCAGTGAAAGATTATTCTTAGCTCACATTGTGCTATAAATCTTTTAATTATTAAGTAATAAAGTTAAATATAATAGGACTCTGCTTTTGAACTGAAGTTCATACTTTTCTTGTTCTTTCCCTGGGGGTTAACTCTGACTGCTGGCTAATATACTTTCTGGTATCATTTATGTTACTTTATTGGTTGTAATTTAAAAGAGAATTACAGGAGAATCAACTCAAAAGTAACCTGTCATTTTTAAAATAATATATGGGACTCAAATAATATTTGGGATTAGGCATATATTAATTTCTTGATGTGTTTAGGGATTGTTGCTCCCCAAAATAAGATAATCATTACTACAAGGTCTAAGAATTATCAGTTATTGGTTCTAGATAATTAAAGCATCCTCTGACACTCTGAACAGTTGTCTTCATCACAAAAATAAATATTTCCCTTTGAAAAGGAAGTTTGTTATTGATTGCTCAGATGAGTAGACTTAGAAAACAAGTCTTTGCAAACATGAATAACACCGGCATACAAATAATAGAGTATTGTAGCAAAGCAGTGTTGAGCTAAAAGCACTATTCTCATTGATTACTCTGAGGTAAGTTTCTCAGTATTTATCTTGACAACTGTCATTACTAGCTGATTCAGGCAGAAAGCACAGAGACAGGAAATGTGGTTAAGTGGCTTTGATATTTTTAATCTTTAGAGAACACACACTTGCCTAGTATCATTTTATTTTACCATCCATAGTTATAGTATAAACGACAAAGGACTTCACTGTGATTCTTAAAAAGGAGTGATAATGATTTATTAAAAGGACAATAAATTTAGATTTTACAGAGACAATAAGCACTCTGGGTTTTTTTTTTTTTTTCCTTCTCTTTCTCTCATTCACTTCTGTAATTATTCTCTAAGCGTATTATAGAACAGGAAATGACAACTCTTAAAATTTATCAAATGCTTGCAAATATTACAACATTTTTTTCCATACACCGTTCAGCTTCCTAAATTCTTAAGTAAAGATAAAAGTAGTTCTTTTGTTATTTAAATGTATTTAAAGCAGGTTGGTCTCCTCAGAAATTTAATATTAATTTCTTTTTTTCCAAATATTAGGACTTCCTTAATCCCATCAAAAGGAAATGCATTTTAAACCTTCTTAATTTTAACAGGGTTATTATTTTGCATTGTAAGCAACTCATGTAAGTAATCTTCAGCCTGACAGGCTGCCACCATTAGAGACTAGTTAAATCAAATATTTCTGTGACCTATAATTTAAAGAGCAGAAGAATTCTAGTTCTGATTTACAAAGCTTTTCTGTATCTTGTCTTCCAGGTAATTTTCAACTCACAAAACCAATGTCGGTTGCTGTCAAGTCTTCTCTTTCTTACACAATCTCTCAGAATTAATATGTATCCTCTGAACTAGAATCTGTTATTAAAGTGCTTTCTTCTTATTCCAAAGCATTCTGAGGATTTCTCTGCTGTTAACCATTGGTGTTTAGGGAGATGTTCGATCACATGACCCAGCAATGCTTCCATGTCTCCTCCTCTTTCCCTCTGCAGCTGCAAAGGAATTTGAAATGATACACAGCTTACATCTGCTTTCCATGCCTCACCACCTCTCAGTCTCCCAGACCACATGCCTTTGTTCTTCCTTCTAATTCATGAGTACTGTGGTTTCTAGCATTCTCTCTCACACATTTGTCATTCTATCTCTTTCATATTGATATTTCCATTTTCTCTTCAGACTTCAAAGTTATGCACTTATATCAGGGATAATGCTAGTCAGAGTAATGTTAGCTAAAACTAAATGAGCTTTTCTCCCTGTAAAATATGTTTCAGGTGTTAGGTCTGCTTAGAGATGAGAACATTTTCTTTTCTAGTGTTTATGGACTTAATTTTAAGTCTTTGCTGAAGTAGACAAATTCCTTGATTACTAGAAGACACTGCATTCTCTTGTACGTTATTTTCAGTTGCAAATTTGTACCAGATCTTGGAGGAACTATATGACCCAAGATTCAGGAAAGCTATCAAGAGACAAACACTCTTTCAGGCTCTGACATCACTCATTCCGTGGGATTCTCTAGGCTTATGTTTCACTTCCTCTAAAGTGGTTTTTCTTTCTTTACTGAAATTGCTCTAACAGAGGGTTCTGTGCCCTTTACACAGTGAAAGATTTCCCTCTTGGTCATTAACCCAACTGACATTGACCTTTGATATGGCTGCTCACACTAAAGCTCTAAAACTTTGTTTTCCTGTTCTCTTCCTTTTTTGTTGCTTTTATTCCTTCTTTGTTATCCTTGTGATTCTCTTTGTTCTCTAACATTTTACATAGGTCTTGCTCCGAATTTGATTTTTTTTTTTTTTTGGTTTTTTTTTTCTACTTTTCTTTTTAGTACTGTATCTATTTTTAAAGTCTTACATTTACATTTTTAAAGGGTTTTTCCTTAGATTATATGATCATCTTTGAATTATTTTCTAGCTAATATTTCTAAAAGCTTTACATATTCTCTAGGGATGCTCTATTAACATTTTAGCTCAAATTATTTTAAATCCTCCCTTCACAATACCTAACTTTACATAACTGATTTTTACCAATTATTTTCAGGTTATTCTTTGTAATATTGTTAATTATGCACCTTCTCCAATGCTTTTAGTGGCATCTAAATGCCTTCTTACTTTTCTGTTAAATGAGCTAAAAATCTCCTCTTTCTTTTTTGCTTTTTTATAATTGCAGGCAATACTGTAGTTTCTTTCATTTTAAGTGTTTGTGAAAAACTGAAGTTTTCAAAATTCAGTGGATATTTACTCCACCTTCGATTTTCTCAACCAAATACTATTTTCTTTCTTAAAATACAGATCTTATTGCTCTTCTCACAACTGCGATAACAATTTTTAAGGAATCATAATTTTATAAGCAGATTTAATTGATACTAAAGCTCACAGTTTAACCACAATTTAATGTTCTTGCATTTGAGAAGCAGTTTATTACAGTCTACGATTTACTAAAATGCAGCATTTTCTTTGTAGTAATTGTCAAGGATCTTGATGTAAGAAATATTTTATTTAATTTCTTAATTTCTCTACTACCTTTCTGATAAATATTTGTTGAATTACTCCATATCATATTGTATCTATTCTGCCCAACTCAAAAGGGTATGAGCCATCAAGTATCTCAAAACATAAATTAGTCAGAGATTGACGTGATTTAGATTCTTCTTTGTTTTTAGAAGACACTATAAAATATAGTGTTATATTAATTGAAACTCTTGTTTTCATGTAAATAAAATGACTCCAGTTAGATTCAGAGCATTGAAATTTACTGAATGCAATACTTAAAAAAAATAACAGTAGACTGGCTTCAGATAAAGTTAATTTCAATCTTTGAATGACGTTTTCTAGTCTGCACCTTAGGCCCTTCTGTCTCTTGGCACTGCTTTGAATGTCGTCAATCTTCTCATAATTCTTTACTTTGTATTTTCTAGTGTCTCCAAATTTCCATTACGTTGATTGAGAAAAATCCTTTGGAAAGAATATTTCTCACTTTTACATCAAAACTCTTCCACCTGAAAAAAGGAATTCCTGGATGATGAATAAGAACCTGTAAAAATCTGATCCCACAAATTGTGCAAAATTGGTCACAATCACTTCTTTAAAATGATGTAAATTAATCATGGGCTTATAGAAATTCAAAGAGACTTTATTTAATAATTGGATCTGTCCAGGGACAGGGGACTGCTTGGCATTTCAACTTGCCTATTTCCAGCTCTCTCTCTTAAGAGTCTTGGAAAGAAGTAACCATGGAGATATGCAACTTCACAACCACAGTGGCAATGAAGACCTGCTGATGGCAGCGATGGACTGGGCCACAGAGGACTACAGCTCCTCAAAATCTCATTTCAAGAGAATTGTTGACAAATCGACCTGTTTGGCAGCTTCCTGGGGGAGGCAGTCTAAAATATAGCATCTTTTTTTTCCATTCTTCAGTTGAAGGAGGGAAGTGACTTGAGATCATACTCATAAGTGAAATAAATCAAACTCACATGTGTAAATACTATATATATCATAAATGAAATAAATCAAACTCATATGTGTAAATACTGCCTAGTGTAAAACACAAAATCTTCAGTATTGTAAAAGAATAAGAAACTGCTCAAAGAGGATAAAATAACTCAGACAAGGAAAAGAAGAAAAGAAGGAAAAGAGATAAGACAAAAATTTGTATATGTATACTTAAGATTACTTAGATGATTGTACCACTAATTCTATTAGTTATTGGAACAAAACAGTTAACATCTGTAGGATTAGGACAACTTTGCATGACTACATCTGGTAATTCAAGTAAGACTTTTGAAGATAACTATGCAAAGCAACAAAATTTGTTATGTTTCTACCACCTTGATTTGAAAGCCTATATTGTTATTGTTTTGGACTCTTAGTTATAGCTATTTATTTGTTGTTTTGTTTTTCCCTCTAATACAAAAAAGATAGATGTACAATACGTAGGCTTGTATATGCTTAGAACTACACCTAAAGAACAAGGATTGATTTTATTAAGTGTGATAGTATGAACAACTACACTGAAGAAAACAAGACACCAGATAGTCATTGATGATTTCCTACCATTTTGCTTTGAAGTCCAATAATGCTTTCATTCTTGGTTTTGATTGATTTTAGTCTGTTTGCAATTATTTGATTTCAATGTATATGAAGGTATGGACAATTATTTTGAAGAAAACAAGAGACATTATGGTAGCCACTGTTGATTACCTGTTGTCTTTTTCTGAAATCCTGTTACTTGAATTGTTTTACTCTGCTCTGCTTTGTTCTGTTTTGTTTTATGTTCTTCAAAAAATGTAACATTAGTTATCAGAGTTTGTCTTAACGCTCAGATTTCACCCTGTGGAAATAGCCCAATTACAGGTGGCAACTTTAACACTGTACTAGTACCAGTTGAGGATGGCAAGAAGTTGATAAAAAAAAAAAAGTGGAACAGTTTTAAATCATTAAAAACAATTGACTCTTCATTAAATCCATTGATTCAATTCAATTCTGTTTTTGAGCCTTGCTGGTAATTTTTTTGTTTTAGTTATTATAATGTGGTTATAACTTTAACCACTATATTGTTATTTATATTTTCTTTGGCCATCATCGTTATACTTTTAAAAATTCTTCAGATATGATTTCTTTTAATCTTTATTATAATGGCAGACTGGAAGTTTTTACACTACAGCTAACATCTACAGTTTCTACTGACTAGCTCCTGCCCCAAAACACATGGGAAACTTTTATTTTTTTTCAGTACTGGGGATTGAACTCATGGCCTCACACTTGCCAGGCAGGCATTTACACCACTGAGCTAAATCCTCAGCCCAATATTTTCTCTTTTCATGTATTAAAGGTTTTTGTTGTTGTTGTTGTTGTTGAGAACTGACCATTTTAAAAATATAATGTGATAACTCTGTAAAACAGATCTTTCCCAATCAGGGTTTATTGTTTGTGTCATCTGTTTGTTATTGTTTGTGTCAATTTCTGCTATTTATTTAGTGACTTTTTAGAATACTATTTCTCTATCATCTGTTTATCATTCTGTTTATCTACTGACTCTCTGCTTGGTTAACTTGATACTCTGAATGGTAAATATCCCAGCCTTCATCGAGGGCTTTACATATATATGAGAGCATGCTGCATTTACACAGGTGCATTAAAAATCTGTCTAATGCTGTCTCTCATGTTTGTGCAGAGCCTCAAGGTCTAAGGTGAGAATATGGTCTTCTCAGGTCTTTCTTCAGTATGCTTAAGACCTTCTAGATTCTTCCAAATTTGTTGGAGCCTTTCAAATTACCCTGTGGAATTTAAATAAAACCATTTTAAATAAATAATGGGTCAAAAAACTTTCACAAAGAAAATTAGAAAATATTCTGAGTTGAATGAAAATGAAATTAAAATTTAAGGGCTATGAATAACACACTACTTATTAGGACATTTCTTGCTGCTACCAGCCATATTAAAAAAATTTTGAAACTTCAAATAAATACCATAATATTCTCACCTTAATACAGGAGAAAAATTATGAGCAAATTATAGCTCCAAAAAAAGCAATGAGTATGACACAGTATAAATTAGAAAAAAAAAATAAATGAACAAAGAAAAATAATGAAGAAAGTCACCAAAGCCCAAAGTTTATTCTTTTAAATGATGAAACATGTACATTAATCTTTAAATAAATTGATCAGTAATAGAGAGATAACCGAAATTAATCAAATCGAGAGCAAAAGAAATATCACTGAGGATCTTATGGAAGTTAAAAAGAACTATAAAGAGAATTATGTAGAGAGATCTTCTCAATTCATTTTATACGGTTAATGCTATCATGATACTACAACCAGACAAAGATGTCAAAAAATTAAAGAATAGCATTTTTCTATGAATTTAAATGTCACAAATAGGGGGGAAAATAAAAAAAATATACATAGCACATTGATGAAGAAGAAAGTACTGTGATATGTTAGTTTTCAACCTGCTTCTTTAGCTCACCAGAAATTTGATTTGGGGGCAAATTATAATCTCTCTTTATGTGACAGCTTTCATCTGTAAAGTGTGGTCAATAATTACATCTAGTCTTGTAAGGCTGTTCCCTTTCATGAATGAATATATGTGAAGGGCATGAACTGTACCTAACAAGAGGCAAACACTCAATAAATGTTAGCATTATTATCCTTGTCAGAAACAACTGAGACAGTGATCATCTCACTTGATCTTTGGTCTCTGTGCTTTAGACCTTAGGATCTGTAATGATCCAGTTGCCCTTAAACCAATCACAGAATTCCCAAGGGCACAAGAAATAATTAGCTGCTGTGCTATGTGCACTTATCTTGGCTTTGGAAAGCTAGTGGTTGATGACATAATGGATTCACTTAATCAGCTTAGATTTTAAAATTTGTACTTATAGAAAACCAAAGATCTCAGGGGCTGAAGCATTCTACAATCACAGATAAAAGGGAAATGAATACATGTAAAAGGGAAATGAATACATGTTTAGTACCTACAATAACAGTTAAACTGTAGTATTTGATGGAAAGCACTCTGCAGATGTCATGTTGGGATATTACAGTGAAATACAAAGAGATGGAAATCACTGCCCATAAGAAGTTTATAGACTAGTGAAAAAGAACCATTGCATGTGAAATACATCTTGCGCTAGAAGGGAATAAATGTAAAGCGTTAAATCAGAGAAGGGAGTCTGAAAGAGTCTGAAATGGAGAAGCACTTACAACATTAAACTAGGTCACTAACAAAATTTTCATTGAAAAGATGCATTTGTTAAAGGATTCGAAGGAGGTCAAAGGATGAGCCATGAAGATGCCTGGGGGAAGGAACTCTCCTGGTAGAAGGAAAGACAATTACAAAGGCTTTGAGGTTGCACTGTGACCTTTCTGCTTAGGGCTCACCAGAAAGGCACGTCCTCACTGGTGTGGTAACTAGGTGACAGTCCAGGTTGAATGAACTCTTGCTTGATTTCATCTCCTACATCCGTCCCTTTCCCTTGGTGTCTTGTACAGACCACAGTCCCTCTGACTTTAAACAGCAGTGTTGGCCTTCGGGCTGAACGTTCTCCTAGAAGTTCTTAGATTCCTTATACCAACAACCCACTTTCTGTCCATTCAGTGTTTTTTAGGGTATTGGGGAGCATGTAATTTGGAATAAGAAAGGTCTATATTAGTCAAATATCTAGATAACACTTATATTCTTGGGTAAGTTTGATGAGAAAATTCTCTAGTACTCTTTTCTTGAACAAAGAGATTTGCGGTTTTTAAATTATAAAACTGTGAAATGTGAGTATTTTAGTTATTGTAATGGATATGCTATTTAATTAAACCATGGTTTCTTTTTTTTTCCTTTGTTAATCTAACTAGAAATTTTAAAATTTTATTTATTTATTTATTTATTTATTTATTTATTTATTTATTGTCTTTTTCCTTTTTATCAGTACCGGGGATCGAACTCACGACTGCCTGCTTGCAAGGCAGGTGCTTATGACGCTGAGCTAAATCCCCAGCCCCAAAATTTTATTTATTTTTTTACAGTCCTACATTTTGCTTTCATTGCTATTCTCTATGTATTTGATTTTCAATTTTATTCATATCTGTTCTCATATTTATTTCCACAGTTCTGCTTGCTTTGAGTTTATTTTGTTTTTTTTTATTATGACATGAATGTCTATATTATTCATTTGTGATAACTCATTCTAATATACTCATTTAATGCAATAAATTTCCCCTGCTTATGTGGCATCTCACATAATATTTTCATTATGTGCACTTCATTAATTTCTAATTTGTTTATAGATTTCCTCTTTAAGGCAACAATTGTTCAGTAGTATAATGTTTATTTTCCAAGTGTTGAGAGTTTGTTTTTCATCTTTCTGTTACTGATTTATAGTCTATTTCTGTGAGTTTAGACTTTGTTTGACATTTACTCTTTTGAATTTATTAAGATTGAATTTATGAGCTAAGATATAACCTATATCCTTGTGTACCTGAAGGAACCACTTATTCTTCTATTATTGAATATTATTTAGATCTGCTAGGTTGGTAGGATATACAGTTCTATTTTTTTAATACTTTGTCAATTATCACCCAAAAGATTCTTGAAGTCTTCCACTATACTTATGTATTAATCTGGGTCTCCTCTTTGTTTTTGCAGTTTTTATTTCAGACTTTGGAGCTGTATTATTTCTATTCATTTTTAATGTTTTTATATATTGTGGTTGAACTGATTATTTCATCATCTTACAGTTTTTATCTTTATTTTGGTAATTTTCTTTGTTGAAAGATATACTTTGTCTGATATTAATCTATTCTGCATATTTTCTTTATTATATCAATGTACACGAAATAACGTGGGACACATAATGTATCTTTCTCCTCCTTGTATTTTTAACTTCTGTAATTACAGCTGAGAAAATTTTCTAATAGAAGAATAACTTTGAATTTTTAAAAAGTGTTTTATCAATTCAGTTGACATGTATAATCTGAATTTATTGTTCTATATACTAACATTTGGATTTATTGCCATTTTTCATATTTAGCATTTTGTTAATAATTTTACATTTGATCTGTTTGATCCGATTTTATTCATACATTTCTCTTTTCATTTGGCTTATTTGAACATATGTTTTTTTGTGTGTGAGGTGGTAAGAATGGGTCTCGCTATATATTCCAGTCTGGCCTTGAACTTACTATGCAGTCCATCCTGGTCTCAAACTCCCAGTAATCCTCCTGCTTCAGTCTTCTGAGTGCTGGCATCATAGGTGTGTGCCATCATGCCAAGGTAAATATATCTTTATATAATATATGGTGCATATTTTCAGTTTTCATTTATTAGTACATTTGAATTGCACAATGATTACATTTCTGTGGGGGTTAGTATATGTATACAACATATTTTAATTATTTTTATATACTCTTTTCCTTTCTGCCTTGTCTCCCTCCCTCCCTCCCCATCTCTTCATCCCATTCCAATTTTAAAAGGATCTATCTCTGTACTTTCTGTATCTTTTATTTTGCTCCCTCCCTTCCTCTCTCCCTCCCTCCTTTCTTCCTTCCTTCCTTAATCTTTCTTCTCTTTCATATTTTTCTCATCTCTCTCTCTCTCTCGCTATGCAGCCTGTACTCAACATACAGAGCTCCAGTGATTCTCCTCTCTCAGCTTCGCAAGTAGCTGTGTCTACAGGTATGTGTCTCGTCAAAATTCATTTCTTAATAATATGGGTATAATAACTATTTTAAAAGTGTTTATTCCATTGCTTATCTTTTCTTTGGGTGTCTGTCAATATTTTTTCAGTTCTGTGATCATCCTAGTTATTGCGTATCAAATATTTTTTTTTTAATTTTTAAAAAGCAAAACAGAAAAATGTAGAAATAATACAGAATTTCAAACAAATAACAGTAAGAAATCAACACTAGTTAATACATTGCATATTGTTATCTTAAAATAGTTCAGATTTCAAAATTTAAGCATAAAAATGAACAATCAAACAATGACAGC